CCCAGGGCAGCTCGGGGCTTTGTTCAGATGTCTGCCATAGTCAGGTGCCTAATAAGTGCTGAGACTTGCAAGCCCACCTGGGCAGATGGGTTGATGCCCTCTGGTGAGCACCCCCAGCAGCCAGGCCCCTGTCCACATGTCTGCCTGCTCCTGCTTGTGTTTGATTGTCACAATGCTGCTTTCCAGGGACACTGGCTCCCATCCCTCCTGTCGAGAAGGACAGAGACAGCAAGTGCCTGGGAATAAGGCATTTGCCAGGTGGCACAAGTGACGAGGGTCGGAGCTGGGATTTGAACCCGGATCATGGAACTCTGCATGGGGGAATGCAGGTGTGGGGATACCCATAAAGGACGGAAGGGTGGCCCAGCCCCACTGAGCCCAGCCGCTCCCTGCAACCCTGGAGGAAGCTGCTCTGCTCTCAGGTGGGGAGAGGGCCCAGGCGGCCAGGCCTCCCCTTGCTCGCTGGCTCAGGGGATCACAGTGGGACAAGGAGATTTAGAGTGTATGTCGTCTTTCCTTTTCCTATTTCATTCAAAAGTTCATTTAGTATCAAGCAAGAGGAGCCTTAGCTTAACCCTGCAGATCAGGCAAGACTTGAGTTACAAAAGAATACATTCTTTTTGCACTTTTAATTCTCTTCTCCTCTACTTTTGTTGGCAAGAGCAGGTCTGTGTCCCAGGTTCGGAATCCATTTTTCATCCCACACCAAAGCGCCTACTGTTTGGGTGAGCACCCTGCGCGTGGAGCTGTGTGGCAGGAAGGTCCCCACAGAAGGGTCACAGCACCACTGCCCAGGTCCAGCTCAACTCTGTTGCCAGGGTTGCCTGTTCTGGCTCCCTGGGGCTTGCAGCGTCCTGTTCCCAGGATCTGCACATAGGGGTGCCTTTCTGCATCTCTCCGCCAGTGGTAGGTGCTCCTCTAAGCCCCCACGGCTTGCCAGCCTGGAGACAGCGGCCTGCACCCCGTCCCTGTTGCATGCCAGCTGAGAGGAGCCTGGGCCAGAAGCCCCACAGCGGTTGGCTGTGGCTTGGACACCGGTTGGGGGCAACGGGGCAGGGGCTGGCCGCCCAGCCCCAATCCTATGGCCCCTTGCTCTGGGTGGGGACCAAGGAGGAGCGGGTGGGGAAGGTGCCTCAGGCAGGCCCTAGGGATCATGGGCGGCTTATGTTCCACGATTTTGAGGCCATTTGCAGCGAGCTCCACCAGCCTGCCCTTCCCCTGCAGCCGCCACCACCCGCACAGCACCGCCACGAGTGTATTCCGGGCTTTCTTCAGAGGAGACTGTCAGCATCCTCAAGTTCCAGGTGCTCTGGCCCCAGTCCTGCTTCTTGACGCTTTTTCCCAGGGGCTGCCTCCCCTTCTCAATGGCCTGAACCTTGGCCAGTTCCCACGAAGTTTGACGGGAACACAAGGCTGTCACTGGCATTTGTGGCACTATAACTTACAGGCACGCGTGTTGCACACATCGGACACTGCGCCACATGCAGTGACACCATCTGAGGTGCGCACGCCGCACGCGCACGCGCACGCCGCACCGGCTTGGCTTGGCGTTCTGCACATGCGTGTGTAACGGCTTGGCTTGGCGTTCCTCGCTTGGCTTGGCGTTGGTCGCTTTGCTTCCTGGTCCTTGCGTGGATTGGCGTTTCCTCCCTCGGCATTCCTTTGCTGGGCTTGACCTTTTCTTGGCTGGGCTTGGCATTCCCCTGGCCGGGCTGGGTGTTTCCTTGGCGGGTGGGTGGAGGGGCTTGGCCTTTCCCCCGGTGGGTGTGGGCTTTCCCCCGGGGTGGGAGTGGGATTTCCTCAGGTGGGTGTGGCCTTGCAAATACTGCTGGGCTTGGCCTCTCCCCGCCTGGGCTGGGCTCCGCTGGTTTGGTGGGTTTTGGCTGTGCTTGACCTTTCTCCTGTAACAGATTGGAAACCTAGAGTTTCTTGCTTGTTGGTGAAATTTGTTGGCAGAGGTGATTGGCTAGCTATTACCTGGCTCCCCAGGCTGGTAAAAGAGGATGGGGGCTGAGGTTTTTTCAAAGCCGGCTGCATCCACTATGAAGAAGCCTTTTGGCCTCAGCGGCAAGATGGGCAAGTGGTGCTGCCACTGCTTCCCCTCCTGCAGGGGGAGTGGCAAGAACCACGTAGACTCTAGGGGAGACCACGACGACATCGCCTGTTTGGAGCCAAGGTAACACGTCCGTCGAGAAGATCTGGGCAAGCTCCACGGAGCTGCCTGGTGGGGTAAAGTCCCCAGAGCGGATCAGAGGCAGAATGTGTGGGGATGCGGGTGGGGATTTGCCCTTCTGTGGGATGGGCGAGGGCTGACTTTCTTGCCTCTGCAGGCCCCACAGCACCCTGGATGTGGAAACCTCGGAGAGGTTGGCGCAAAGGCCTCTTTATGAGCAGCAACACAAAAAAATTTTAGCTGATTTCCAATCAATAATAATTTCCTTTACATAACACTTAATAGACTGTTTTAAAGTGGTTTAACTTGCAAGATTAAGTCGATGCAGCAGATTATTTTTAATGTACACATTTAAAACAATGTTATATGCATTATAGAAAGGTGTGTAATGAGAAATAATTCCCATAATATATCGACTTAGGGCTAAATATTCTTTAGATAAAATCCAATGTGCATTTTAGGTCAATGTATCGCTATATAAATATGTTCTTCACTGAGGAATCTTAGAAAGAAACTGAAATGGGAAGATGGTTCATGTCCTTGAATAGGAAGATTCATTTTTTTCAAGATGTGAGTTCTTTATGTATCACCTTTCCCTAAGCCCAAATAAAAATATCAAAGTTTTAACATTTTTAAGTTACACATGGTATCTTTTACTATTGTGATAAATTAGTGTTTTGTAACAGAATGGAAAAAGACTTGCCTTTCTAGGTATCAAAATGTACTAATATTTCCACAAATTGTTTACCAGCAACTGAAAAGACATAAATGAATAGAACAGAATAGAAAATCCAGAACTACCCAAGTGCATGTAAGAATTTAGAAGTTGATAATGGTCACATTTCATATTACTAGAAATGTAGCAGGACGAGCCGCAGACAAAACTCCTTAGACACCAGATTAAAGAAGGAAGAGGGTTTTTATTTGGCCGGGAGCGTCGGCAGACTCGTGTCTTAAGAGCCAAGCTCCCTGAAAAAGAAATACTTGGCCTTTTTAAAGGCTTACAACTTTAAGAGGTCCACGTGAAAAGGTAGTGATAAATCGAGCAAGCGTGGGAAACGTGACTGGGGGCTACATGCATCAGCTAACAGAACAAAAAGTTTTACAATGCTTTTTTTCATACAGTGTCTGGAATTTACAGATAACACAAGTAGTTCAGGTCAGGGGTTG